AAGGAACACAGCAGGAAAGGAAGAGTGCCAGGAGAAAGACAACGGAGCGAAAGAATGTTTTTAAAACTCAGAGATGGTGTCTTGCAATAGCCATCCTTGCAACTTTGGGCCTGCTTTGAATGCTCTTCCATTACAGCAGCATTTCTCAGCCTGAAGGTCGAAACTTCTGGGGGGTCACGAGGTGGTGTGTCAGAGGGGTCGCTAAAGACCATCAGAAAACACAGTGTTTTCTGTTGGTCATGGGGTTCGGTGTGGGAAGTTTGACACAATTCTATTGTTGGTGGGGTTCAGAGTGTTCTTTGACTGTAGGTGAACTATAAATCCCAGCAACTACAACTCCCAAATGTAAAGGTTTATTTTCCCCAAACTTCACCAGTGTTCACATTTGGGCATATTGAGTATTCATGCCAAATTTGGTCTAGATCCATCACAGTGCTCGCTGGATGTAGGTGAACTACAACTCCCAAACTCAAGGTCAATGCCCACCAAAGCCTTCCAGTATTTTTTCTTGGCTATGGGGATTCTGTGTACCAAGTTTGGTTTAGTTCCATCATTGTTGGAGTTCGAAATGCTCTTTGATTGTAGGTGAACTATAAATCCTAGCAACTACAACTCCCAAATGACAAAATCAATCCCCTCCCCCAATCCCACCAGTATTCAAATGTGGGTATATTGGGTATTTGTGCCAAATTTGGTCCAGTGAATGAAAATACATCCTGCAGGTCAGATATTTACATTACTGTTCACAACGATAGCAAAATTACAGTTATGAAGTAGCAACGACAATAATGTTATGCTTGGGGGTCACATAACATGAAGAACTGTATTAAGGGTTCATGGCATTAGGAAGGTGGAGAAACACTGCATTACACTAGGTAAAAGGTAAAGGTTTTCCCCTGACATTAAGTCCAGTCATGTCCAACTTGCTGATCGAAAGTTTGGCGATTCAAATCTGGGGAGTGGGGTGAGCTCCCGCTGTAAGCCCCCACTTCTGCCAACCTAGCAGTTTGAAATCATGCAAATGTGAGTAGATCAATAGGTATAGCTTCTGCGGCAAGGTAACGGTGGTCCATGCAGTCATGATGGCCACATAACCTTGGAGTTGTCTATGAACAATGCCGGCTCTTTGGCTTAGAAATGGAGGTAAACTTGCTGATCAAAAGTTTGGCAATTCAAATCTGGGGAGGGGGGTGAGCTCCCGCTGTTAGCCCCAGCTCCTGCCAACCTAGCAGTTTGAAAACATGCAAATGTGAGTAGAACAATAGGTACAGCTTCTGCGGCAAGGTAACGGTGGTCCATGCAGTCATGATGGCCACACGACCTTAGAGTTGTCTATGGACAATGCCGGCTCTTTGGCTTAGAAATGGAGGTGTGACACCATTCCCCCAGAGTTGGACATGACTACACTTTATGTCAGGGGAAACCTTTACATTTACGTAACTCTTACTAATACTTTCCTTTTTATCTGTGACTTCCTCTTGTTGTATATGCCTGTGTTGTGATTCTGTTGTTGTATGCCAATAAAGCCTGGGGGGCCCTGCCCACCTGAAGGTCTCCGCGGGGAGCATTCAGTTCCTCATGTTTCGCTCGCACTTTTGCCGCAAGGGCTTTTGTGGCTCCCTGCGTGGGCAAGGGCTTGGGCGTTCCTTTGTGGGGAATGCCGCTTTGGAAATGCACTATTGGGAACAACAGGGTGCTGAGTCGGTGCTTCAATCTTACAAGCCAGGCCCAGTCTCCTGGGGAGAAGCGGAGGATGAAGCCGGGTTTGGAAACACCCCAGAAGGATAATCTAGAACTTACTGGGAATTTTACTGCTCTTTCCTCTGAATGGCAAAGGTCCAAATCCCCCTTGGAAACAGCACCTTGTTTTAAAACAAAGCACTGTAGAAGATGGGTTTACAGAACCCCACATCCATATTTCCCTCTATAAATAAAAATTCTGTAAAGATAGGTGCAAGAGAAGCATGGTTTCCATCCCGTTGCAATTTCCAAGTGGGGCTCATGGATAGAATGTTGGAATGGATGTAAACAGAAGAGCAACCATAATCAGACCAGGTTTTGCTATTTGAGATAGAATAAAGATCCCAGGTTTCTTCCAAGCCTCTCCTGGCAGAACCAAGGAAAGGATCTTCAGAAGCCTATTGGAAATACTGGGCTTCAAAGCTCCAAATATATGACTCAGTTTAAGCCGGCTTCCTATGCTCTGATGAAAGGTCCTAGATTCAAACCCTGCATCTCCAAGTAGGACTTGCCAAGGCCTTGTGCCTGAAACCCGGCAGAATTTTGCATATAATGGGCCAGAGTTGATAGTACTGGACTAAATTTATTATTTTCTAGCCGTTCCCTGCCACGCGTTGCTGTGGCCCACGTGGGGGTTCTGTGTGGGAGGTTTGGTCCAATTCTATCGTTGGTGGAGTTCAGAATGTTCTTTGATTGTAGGTGAACTATAAATCCCAGCAACTACAACTCCCAAATGTAAAGATTCTATTTCCCCCAAACTCCACCAGTGTTCACATTTGGGCATATTGAGTCTTCGTGTAGAGTTTGATCCAGATCCATCATTGTTTGAGTCCACAGTGCTCTCTGGATGTAGGTGAACTACAACTCCGAAACCAAAGGATGCTGCCCACCAAACCCTTATTTTCTGTTGGTCATGGGAGAACTGTGTGCCAAGTTTGGTTCAATTCCATCGTTGGTGGGGTTCGGAGTGCTCTTTGATTGTAGGTGAACTATAAATCCCAGAAACTACAACTCCCAAATGACAAACTCAATTTTTTTGAGTGAAGGACATACATTGGATTGTTAGGTGTTTTGTGTCCAAATTTGGTGTCGATTTGTCCAGTGGTTTTTGAGTTCTGTTAATCCCACAAACTAACATTACATACATACATACATACATACACACACACACACACACACATATATATATATAAAATTTATTTATTTAAAGCATTTATATTCCACCCTTCTCACCCTCAAGGGGACTCGGGGCGGAACACAACATATAAACGACAAACATCTGATCTCATTAGGAAGGGAGTTCTGTAGCTGAGGGGCAATGACTGAGAAGGCCCTGTCTCTCGTCCCTGCCAAATGCGCCTGTGATGGTGGTGGGACCGAGAGCAGGGCCTCCCCAGAAGATCTTAATCTCCGCAATGGTTCATAGGGGGAGATGCGTTCAGACAGGTAAATTGGGCCGGGGCCATTTAGGGCTTTATAGGCCAAAGCCAGCACTTTGAACTGTGCCCAGTAGCAAACTGGCAGCCAGTGGAGCTGGCGTAACATGAGAGTTGTGTGCTCCCTGTACGCCGCTCCAGTTATTAACCTGGCTGCCTCTCGCTGGACTATTTGACGCTTCCAAGCAGTCTTCAAAGGCAACCTCACGTAGAGGGCGTTGCAGTAATCTAATCTAGATGTGACGAGAGCATGGACCACCGTGGCCAAGTCGGACTTCTCAAGGTACAGGCGCAACTGGCGCACAAGTTTTAATTGTGCAAAAGCCCCCCTAGCCACCGCTGCAACCTGAGATTCCAGGCTCAGCAATGAGTCCAGGAGGACTCCCAAGCTGAGAACCTAAAGGGACCATGCTCAGTATAAGTCACTTTTCTTATGGAAAGCCTCTGGTAGGATCATAGAATTGTACAACTAACGGCCATCCAATCCAACCCACTTCTGCCAGGCAGGATCAGCACCATCGAAGTACCCCCAGCAGATGGCCATCCAGCCAATGTTTAAAATGTGTAAAAGCTTCCAAAGAAGGAGATTTCAATGGACTCTGAAGCAGTTGGTTCCACTGTTGAACAGCACTTGGCAGGGGGTTGGACCGGATGGTCCACGAGATCTCTTCCATGATTCTATGATTCTACTTAGCATCAGGAAGTTCTTCTGAATATTCAGATGGAATTTTCTGTTTCCTGTCAATTGAACTCATGGCTACATTGAGTCCTAGTCTCCAAGGCAGTAGAATTCGGAAGTCCCAAATGAGTTTGACGTGCTCATTTTCTATAACTTTTTCCGGCTTGTGATCCCACCAGTTATTTGTCGCAGGCAGATGGTATTTGTGGCACAAGTTCCAATGAAGCATCGGAGCAACGGTGTTATGCCTCTGCTTATAGTCTGTCTGCACGATCTTCTTGCAGCAGCTGAGGATGTGATCTATAGTTTATTATTATTATTATTATTATTATTATTATTATTATTATTATTATTATAGAATCATAGAATCCTAGAGTTGGAAGAGGCCTCATGGGCCATCCAGTCTACTTCATTCTGCCAAGAAACAGGAAAATAACATTCAAAGCACCCCCAACAGATGGCCATCCAGACTCTGTTTAAAAGCCTCCAAAGAAGGAGCCTCCACCACACTCCAGGGCAGAGAGTTCCACTGCTGAACAGCTCTCACAGTCAGGAAGTTCTTCCTAATGTTTATTTGTATCCTGCTTTTTCTCTGTATAGCAAATGTGCTGCAGGATTTCCCTCCCACAAAAATAAAGTTTTTGGAGTTTAATGTACTTTTCGACATTTTTATGATAGAACCAATAAGGAAATGACATTTATAGCCTAGGAACAAAAATCATGTTAAACAGAAAGGAGGAAACCATGAAAATGAACAAAATCTGGCTACCAGTATTAAAAAAACTCTAAAATTACAACAGCAAAACAACAGAGAGTAAACAATCAGGCACATCTAATCACCTCTCAACAAAAGATTTCCCCAGGCACTGCCAGGCCATCAAATGCTAATCAAGGTGGTCAGTTGAAACATTCACACCTAGCTCCAACAGACAAGAGTCCTTTGTCCCACCCTGGTCATTCCACAGATATATAAACCCATTTTCCTAGTTCGAACAGACCTCACTACCTCTGAGGATGCTTGCCATAGATGCAGGCGAAACATCAGGACAAAATGCCTCTAGAACATGGCCATATAGCCCGAAAAAAACCTACAACAACCCATGTTACACAGTGTTATTGAAGTGGAAGAAAGGCAAGAGGCTTACCGTAGAGGATGGTGATGAGGGACACCGGCATGACCAGGATGCCCACTAACATGTCAGCCACTGCCAAGGACATCAAGAAGTAGTTGGTGGCATTCTGGAGCTTCTTCTCCAAAGAGACAGCCATGATGACCAAGATGTTGCCTCCAATGGTCAGCAGGATGATGACCAGGATGAGGAGGGCCGGCCAGTTTTTCTCCCCAAGGGATGTCCGGGAGACCTCTGCCTCCAGGGAGGCATTGAGGGGCTCCGAGGTGGGCAGGCTGTGGTTCAAAGTCCAGTTAGGGGTCAGTTGCCAGGCCATGAGGCTGCTGAAGTCCAGTGTGACGGAGGCCGTGGTCAGGCCCACCAAGAGGCCACTGCCCCCCTTGACGGCACTCATCGCCCACTGATGGACCCTGTTCTCAAATGGAAGGCAGAGGAGGTCCAATGCAGAGGCAAGATCTCTGGGCAATGGGGCCACCAAGGCAGGCCACCTGCCATGACGGGTGGAGGTGCATCGAAGTCGGAGAGGAGTCTCCACAGAATCCCGCCAAGGCCGGGCTTTCTGGACAGCCGATGCCCACTGGCTGGTGGCAACAGGGTTTTGGCAACAAGGTCCAACTCATGGTCAAGGCTGGCATTCTGCAAAAGGGAAAGGAGAGAGACAGTGTTGGAAGGAATCAAAGGAAGAAAGGAAGACAGAGGCCCTTCCACACAGCCGTACAACCCTGAATATCAAGGGAGAAAAACATTCTGGGATATTTTTCTGGCTTGATATTCTGGGTTATATGGCTGCCAAAAGGGACAGAGAGTTTAACTTATGCTTACGATAATGCCATCACCACTCAAGCAGGTTGAACAGAAGTTGAACAGAAGTTCTCCGAAGCTTTAGGTGCTCTTACTGTCTATGATAGGGAAAACCAGCTGATTCCTAACCCATCTAAAACACAATGTGCTTTTCACTTTAAGAACAGACAAGCATCTCAAGCTCTGAGGATTATTTATTTAAAGCTTTTGTATCCCGATCTTCTCATCCTCCATAGAGGGACTCAGACCATCTAACAGCAAGTATTCAGTGCTCACAAACAAACCTTTAAAACATCATAAACAATAAGTTAAAAATACATATCAGATAAAAAGCATAATAAAACATTCGCCAGGATAAAAACAACGTCCAACTCAGTCCGCACATTGTGGTCAATACTTTAATCAATTACCAGTCTCAGCCATCACTCTGCAAATGCCTTGTTCCACAACCAAGACTTCACTTGCTTCCTAAAGGTCAGGAGGGAGGGGGCAGATATGATTTCGTTTGGGAGAGAGTTCCATAGCCGGGGAGCCACCACAGAAAAGGCCCTGTCTCTCGTCCCCACCAAAAGTGAAGGTGGCCTGGACTTAGAGCAAGGCCTCTCTGGAAGATCTTAATGCCCTTGATGGTTTGTAGGGGAAAATCTTACTGGAGCATTGCAGCACACCCAAATACCTGGACCGTGCTCTGATTTATAAGAAGTATAGCTTGAATATTAATCAAAAATTCTAGAAATTCTAGAAATTTGTATTTTGGTATTTTATTTATTTATTTTAGTCTTTTTTTCTTTCTCACCATTGGGACCGCATTAAGTCCACGAATCCTGATGAATGGATTTTCTTCTACCGTACTTGTACAGTGTCGCCCTTGATGCTTTCATACAGTCACTGCATAAGGCAGGGACGTGGCCACTGCCATTTTTGAGCTCCCCCCACAATATGAGGCAACCACAGATTCTCCAATCCAGATTGGAAGTTTCAGCACCTGCTCTATAAGATGACTCCTGATGTATAAGACTACTCCAGCATATAAGACGACTCTCGTGTATAAGACTCCCGCGTATAAGACGACTTTTGAGAAGATTTTCTTGGGTTAAAAAGTAGTCTTATGCGTCTTATACGAAGATTTTCTTGGGTTAAAAAGTAGTCTTATACGCCAGAATATATGGTACTTTCAAAGTCAGGCCTGCACAATTAAACAGGAAATAATATGAGGGGTATTTTTAAAGTAAGGTCCGTTTTGTTGTAGACACTAGTAGGTCGCGCGCATACTGCAAGGAGCGCGTGTGTCATGTACCGGCATGCCTCGGGAACAACTGTGCTCAGTTTCCGCTCTGTAGCTAACCTGTACGGTTCTGTTCTGTGCTTTAAACATGTATAAGACTATCAACTCACCCTCCGCATGTGAGGTTCGCTCAGTGATACGGTTTTTGTCAGCAAGGAACCTGCCTGCTGCAGAAATTCATCGACAGATTTGTGAAGTGTACGGTGATACTGTTATGAGTGAAAGCAAAGTGCGTAAGTGGGTACGACAATTCAAAGATGGCCGTGACAACATCCATGATGAGGACCGCTCCGGTCGCCCTTCTTTGATTACAGTGAACTCTTGGTTATCGGAGCAGGCGGCAAGTTTTTATGAAGAGGGTATTTTAAAATTGGTTCAGAGGTATGATAAGTGTTTGAACAAACTTGGCAACTATGTCGAAAAATAGAGTGAAGTATGTACTTTCTGAAAATAAATTTACTTTTTGGAAATAAACTTTCGTTGTGTACTTATGTTCAAACGGACCTTACTTAAAAAATACCCCTCGTACTTGCAAACCAGGAACAAAATTTTTAAAAATTTTGTCACATAGTGTAATATTTCCAGTAAACTGAGCCTAGCACATTGGTGCAAACTTCTTGGCAAACTAAACCCTTGCATTCCCATCCATTGGCCCGAATACAAGCTTAGGGTGTTCATCATAAATCACAAGGAGAGTGATATATCCCAGTATCCCCAAAACAATCTCGCCACCTCCCTTGTTCTGCAAAGACCTCCCAAACCTTCTTGAATCTGGGTCCACTGTTTGGTTGCAGGAGTGTTAAGCTGAAAGGCACAGCTCCAGGTCTCTATTTCCAGACTTGACACCAGCCTTTCGGTCCCACAACGCCTCCCTTGCAATAAATCTCCCCCAAGAGCCAGGCTCCTTTCAACCTTTGCCCTTTGAGATTCTTCTGATGCCAAGTCACCCTTTTCTCTCTCTCTCTCTCTCTCTCTGGTTCCGAGAAGCCAAAAAAAGAGACAGGAATAAACCAAGTCCCTAAATGGAAGCAGCTGGGATGGGTCCCCACATTTTGAGCCAAAGCAGGACAACTATTAAAAGAAAGGAAGGAAGAAGCCCAAGGAAAACATCAAGGCGCCTAGACACACCATTGCATTCCAGAGTATGGATATTCTCAAGGCATATTTTGGAGTACCACTTCCCTATCCAAATATTTTATTGCAATGCCTTTCCCAAGGAAGGGTTGGCCCTGAGAGAGTTGGGGTGGGAATCAATTTGGGGCTCTGGTCTGATTTCACTACATAAAATGATTTTGTTCTTGGGTTATAAATGCCGTTTCATTATTGGTTCTATCATAAAAACATGGAAAAAATGTATTAAACTGCAAAAACTTTGCAGATCATCCTGCAGCACATTTTGCTCTAATTTTTCAATGAATATTTCCTAAAGCAGTGTTTCTCAACCTTCCTAATGCTGCGACCCCTTAATACAGCTCCTCATGTTGTGGTGACCCCCAACCATAACATTATTTTCATTGCTACTCCATAACTGCAATTTTGCTACTGTTATGAATCGCAATGTAAATATCTGATATGCAGGATGTATTTTCATTCACTGGACCAAATTTGGCACAAATACCGAATACGCCCAAATTTGAATACTGGTGGGGTTGGGGAGGATTGATTTTGTCATTTGGGAGTTGTAGTTGCTGGGATTTATAGTTCACCTACAATCAAAGAGCATTCTGAACTCCACCAACGATGGAATTGAACCAAACTTGGCACACAGAATTCCCATGACCAACAGAAAATACTGGAAGGGTTTGCTAGGCATTGACTTTGAGTTTTGGAGTTGTAGTTCACCTACATCCAGAGAGCACTGTGGACTCAAACTATGATGGATCTGGACCAAACTTGGCAGGAATACTCAATACGCCCAAATGTGAATACTGGTGGAGTTTGGGAAAATAGACCTTGACATTTGGGAGTTGTAGTTGCTGGGATTTCTAGTTCACCTACAATCAAAGAACATTCTGAACCCCACCAAACTTCCCACACAGAACCCTAATGACCACATTCAAGCTGGAATGTGTCCAGAGGAGGGCGACTCAAATGATCAAGGGTCTGGAGAACAAGCCCTATGAGGAGCGGCTTAAGGAGCTGGGCATGTTTAGCCTGAAGAAGAGAGCAGTACGTGTGAAAAAGATCTTGGAGTCCTCATGGACAACAAGTTAAACATGAGCCAACAATGTGATGTCAAAAAAGCCAATGGGATTTTGGCCTGCATCAATAGGAGCATAGTGTCTAGATCTAGGGAAGTCATGCTACCCCTCTATTCTGCTTTGGTTAGACCACACCTGGAATATTGTGTCCAATTCTGGGCACCACAATTCAAGAGAGATATTGACAAGCTGGAATGTGTCCAGAGGAGGGCGACTAAAATGATCAAGGGGCTGGAGAACAAGCCCTATGAGGAGCGGCTTAAGGAGCTGGGCATGTTTAGCCTGAAGAAGAGAAGGCTGAGAGGAGATATGATAGCCATGTATAAATATGTGAGAGGAAGCCACAGGGAGGAGGGAGCAAGCTTGTTTTCTGCTTCCCTGGAGACTAGGACACGGAACAACGGCTTCAAACTACAAGAAAGGAGATTCCATCTGAACATGAGGAAGAACTTCCTGACTGTGAGAGCCGTTCAGCAGTGGAACTCTCTGCCCCGGAGTGTGGTGGAGGTTCCTTCTTTGGAAGTTTTTAAACAGAGGCTGGATGGTCATCTGTCAGGGGTGATTTGAATGCAATAGTCCTGCTTCTTGGCAGGGGGTTGGACTGAATGGCCCATGAGGTCTCTTCCAACTCTTTGATTCTATGATTCTAGGGGGAGCCTTGGCTTGGCCAGTATTTTATGTTGGTCATGGGGGCTCTGTGTGGGAAGATTGGCCCAATTCTATCATTGGTGGGGTTCAGTATGCTCTTTGATTGTAGGTGAACTATAAATCCAGCAACTACAACTCCCAAATGTCAAGATTCTATTTTCCCCAAACTCCACCAGTGTTCACATTTGGGCATATTGAGTATTCGTGTAGAGTTTGGTCCAGATCCATCATTGTTTGAGTCCACAGTGCTCTCTGGATGTAGGTGAACTACAACTCCAAAACAAAGGACACTGCCCACCAAACCATTCCAGTATTTTCAGTTGGTCATGGGAGAACTGTGTGCCAAGTTTGGTTCAATTCCATCGTTGGTGGGGTTCAGATTGTTTGTAGGTGAACTATAAATCCCAGCAACTACGACTCCCAAATGACAAAATCAATTTTTTGAGTGAAGGACATACATTGGGTTGTTAGGTGTCTTGTGTCCAAATTTGGTGTCAATTCGTCCAGTGGTTTTTGAGTTCTGTTAATACTACAAACGAACATTACATTTTTATTTATATAGATAAGGAGGTT